ACTCATAAGTTTGTGATTTGTAGTGCTAAAAGTGTCACTACTTTTTTTGTTTTCAGAGCAATGGATCAAAAACAATTTCGTGTTTCAATTTCACACTGTTTCTTGATGGGAAAAGTGTTATAATCACTTTACTTCATCAGAAACAACAATTAAAGGTTGGTTTACTGACGTCAAATGATGCAGAACGCAGTGGACGTCCCAATGAGGCAGTAACACCAGAAAACATAAAAAAATCCACAAAATCGTTTTGAATGATCGAAAAGTGAAGTTGCATGAGTTAGCTGACATTGTAAAGACATCAAAAGAACGTGTTGGATTTATATTGCATGAGCATTCGACTATGAGAAAGCACTGTTCAAAGTGGGTGCGGCGCGAGCTCACTGTTGACCAAAATCTGGAACGTCTTGATGATTCTGAGCAGTGTTTGGCCATGATTAAATACAACAAACCGAAATTTTTGCGTCGATATGTGACAATGGATGAAACATGGATCCATTACTTCACTCCGGAATCTGAGTTGAGAGCAACTGGTGAACCTCGTCCAAAGCCAGTACTGGTTCCCAGCAGTGCTGCCGCATCGTCAATTCAAAAAGTACCGAAATTTACAAGAAAATAGTACCCAAAATGTACTGCGCAAGACTAGGCATGGCACATGCGCATAAGTCATTTCAGACCAAATGCCAGTAATGCCAAACGTGTAATAATGTTATCCATTTAAATTCCGAAAATATATGGAGTAAAAAATTTGCTGGAAACTAAGAAATGTTCCTTAAGAGAAAGATCATAATCAGAACATTTGATAAAAAGGTGTCTTTTTCTAAATTTCAAATCTCACACCTGTGTAGCCGAGTGAGTGGTGGTCTGAGATGCAAAAGCATGCACTCGTATTAGTTGTCTCGTTGACAGGCGAGCGGCTTGTGTGCACCTGATTCTGGTTGTCTGGGTGGTCTGCCTGGTTGTCTGCTTGAATTATTCATGTCCATAGAAAATTCAAATCTCCCGCCTGGGTAGACATGATGTTTTGAGATGCTGAAGCTTGCGCTCTGATTGACTGGCGAGCTTGGTGACAGTTTGAGGACACCACGTGACAATTTGGTACGCTTTGATTGGCTGTCTCACCGCCTAGCTAGCTGGGTGATAGTTTGAGGATACCACTCACGTAACTTCCTGTTGAATATAAGAAATGTAGTCCAATGTGTACTATTTATTACTACGGTGTTTCCGAAACGCGTCTAGAATAAAAAAAAATGTTTGTCAAGTTGGAATGGCGTTTAGGAAAATAGGTACTTAACCTATTTTAAAATTTTAATTGATAGTTGTGAACATATTTTTGTTTTGTTGGAGTGAATTTTATCAAAGGTCATTATCATTAGTCATAAAATGATGCGACACTATGATAGAAAAAAATATAGTTTAAAAAAACTAAAAAACACGCTTTNTTCTTTTCGAGTCGCTTTGTAAAATGGGGAGGAAAGTCAGGAGTACTGAAGACGTTTCGCTGAAGGTAGTGACCCCGACGAAACGTGCCAGGTCTCTCCACGACTTGAGTAATCTGAATACTCACATCGCGGTTAGGGAGATTTGTAAATATTTCGAGAACAAGAACGAGACGTCGCACCAAGATAGACAGGCTGTTAACTTCTCGAGGCGCCTCGTTAATTCTGACTCGCATTTGAACGATGTGTATAAGTTTCGTAAAGTGTTGACCACTTGACTGTCTAATTAAAATGCAAGCTGTAATTGTAAGAATCAGTTAACATGAAATTTCATAGATTTATTTATTTTTGTACATAGAGATCATCAAATCGTATATTGTTAGAATTTTAATAAATCAACTTTTATTTTACTTCACTTTTGTTTGTTCTATTCCTTCAAAGTTTGGGGAAAGAAAGCCAACATAAGATTACCTGAAAATTTGCAGAGCAATTGGGGTTCATTCACAACTACCTATGTAACATTTTACTGACTAATAAAACCCGAAAGATTAAAAAAAATAAACGAAACTTCTTTATACAGAAAAAATGTGCACCTCAGGTAGATAATAGAAAAAAGCAATCATCAAGGGTAGAAAAAATGAACATCAGTACTAACCACCTAAATATCTGAAGACGTCAACTTGGTGAAACGCTCCTTGTCGAGAAGAGTAATATCATTTCTGGTGATTGGGAAAAGTGCTTGTTTTTGGGTTCACTTTACGCCAGAGGTTCCAGTTTGTTATTTTATCAATAGTAATATTTGAAACTTAACACGACCTTACCAAAGTAAAATTCTACTGTGACCTTAGTTTACCTCTTCTCCCCCAAATATCTCTCGAGCACTCTCCAAATCACTCGGATCCGAAATATCAGCAATCTTTGGGAATAATTAGGAATGAATACTTTCGAGAATTCTGAAAATTTACTGATTGATCACCTCTTCTGAATATGTTTTTTCTAATGTGGAATTTGATAGTTTGTTACGTGTCCTTTCAATAAGTTGGTAAAATTTTCTTTATAATTTTCAAAATTTTAATTAGTTTATACCTAAACTCAGGTTGAAGGTCATATGATACAAGTTGTTTTATTGAAAACACTTTCCCAACACCAGAAAAAAATTACGGTCTCTCGACGCATGTTTCGTTTACCAAGTTAGCATCTTCAGGAGATCCAGTACGAACTATCACCGTACAAATTGTTATTAAATGAAGCACAAAAGGTTATGTTAATGGGAAAAAAACTAGGAAAATTTTCTTCTATGATGTTCACAGTGAAAATCTTAGTGTTATTTGCATTTTCAATTCTGAACAACACGAGAATAATCGTATAAAAATCAAAGAGATGGAGCCACTTAAAGACCACTAATATACCTCCAAACTAAATAATATAAGTAATGCAGACAGAAAGATGTGTGTGACACACAGAACAATTGGAGAAGGTAGGTATGTACTAATTTAAAATAGATTTTGCATTTGAAAATTTAATGATTTTGAATTTTCTGGATTTGTAAAAAATCCCAGAGATGGAGTCACTTGAAAGAGACTGATATACTTTGACAATGAATAAATATTATAAGTACTGCAGGGACAGAGAGGGATTCACAAACCCTCTCCCATCTGAGAAAACTCCAATTTGACAAACTTACATGGTGAGTTTATGCAAGATGCATAAATATAACTGCAAAATATTTTGTCGAAAACATTTGCCTACACCAGTTTGATTCTTCATCATTCCATTCACAGAGGCTCACTGCACTTGGAAACGATTCTTGTTCATGTGAACGAAGTTAGTCAATTTCATTTTTGGATGGACATCTGAGCTTTTATCGACAATTTTATTTTTTCAATCTGGTGGGTTGGGGAACGGTGTATAAAACATCCAAAAGATGGAGCCACTTAAAAGTTACTGATATACATACATAATGAACGAATATTAGTAATGCAAGCATAGATGGGTTAACAGTACATCGGGTGGGTGGGCCACACACAAACTTTGAATTCGGTGATCTTAATTTGACGACTATATATATTCCATATACCTTTTACACTTTTGATTTTGCAATGATATGAACTAGATTCAACAAATACCCCCTCCCATCATAGAAATGTAATTGTAATTTTATAATTGAAACAGAGATGAGTTATTGAATGTTACTGAGGCAAAATTAGTGATGAGGATGTCCTGCCATCTATGGGAAATTTATGAATTTAGAATTTTCATGAATTGATCTGTAGAATACTCGATATTTTACCTTAATATTTTAGTATGATCCTAAATGCGTCTATATGGATAAAAATTATCAATCACACTTTGAATAGTGATTGATAATTAATAATTGATAGATAAGATAATCATAACGCGGTACATCTTAATTTCAAACAGGATGGAGCCTTGCTCCCTTACCCTTTGGACAGATCTTGTAGCTAATTTTACCAATCTGATAATTTACTGAATATTACTGAGTTTTAATTAGTGTTGCTTGAATGGCGCCATCTATAGAAAATTTGAGCAACTTCATATATGTCCAAAGAATCAAGGACTTCCAAACAAATCAGAGTGATATTTTCTTAGTTTGAAAAACACCCTCAAAAACTGCTATTACGACACCACATGATAAGCGCATCTCTCACAGCAGAAGCTCAAGTTGTAAAAGTTGATGTCTTATATCCTTCTCTTTTGAAAGAAATCATTAAAAGATGTATCTAAACCGAAAATCATTAACACCTTCCATACTTACAACAAAGAATACAAAGCTTTTAATTATATTCTGTGCTCTTGAAACTCCAATATCAATGAGCGACATCTAGTGACTAGTAGAAAAATGACCGAAATCACTTCAAAGAATACAAAGCCCACAGAAGCTCAGAACTGGTATATTCCTGTACCGTAAAATTGTTAGTACTTACCCTGACCACCTGAGGGTGATGCTAGTGCGATGTAAGTATTTAATGTGATTACCAACAGAACTGGATAGCAGTCGCTGACAAACCAGTATGATTTCAAATTTAATTTAATTTTGACGTATACTTAATTTGACGATAAGTTTTCCTCATACATCAGTGCTAGATATAAGTGGGTGAAATGTAACAATTTCGTTCCAGATTTGTTCCAATAACTTTAGTTTCATTCTAAAAGTATTAAAATAGTTTGGTTTCTTGTGAGGTGGTCATGGCAATCAGAATTGTTGGTATCTAGTGGTATCTATAACAATGATTATATTCATGATCTATCAATTGTTTGGAACAATCAGATTCATTTTTCAGATTGGGAAACATCAAAAACCCAAATGAGGAAATGGAACACTATTTCAAATGCTCCCTGAAAAAAAAACTGTCGAATTGAGGTCGGGTGGATGTGGTGGCCATTCTGCCGGCCTTTTCCTACCAATTCATCAGTTTGGACAATGTTTATAATTCAACCATTATCTCTCCAAACATAGAGTACGTAGGGGATGCTCCACCTTTCTCGAAATTGTGTAAATTCCATCATGAATTTTGTCCATTATCAGGAAAATGATAAAAAATATCAGAGCTTTAAATTATTTAATGAAAATTGCGTTGGCACAGAGACTGGTCCTCTACAACATAAAAAATGTGCCTGTTCATTACACAAAAGTTTAGAGTCGGCATAATCAACTACTCCTAACCTTAAAAATCTAAAAATTGCCTACCTCAACCTAAATGTACAAAAATATATTTTAAGAATTTATCCTGAATATAAGACGTTTGTCTCAGAAAAAACTATATTGCGATTGAATTAGTATACAACTTAATGTATGTAAGTATAGTATAAAATACTTCATTGATAAAATGCTGGGGGATCTTAAACGACTTCCTGAATTAAAAAAAAGTGTTTTATACAAAAGGTAACTTTGAAGCGAATGAATATAAATACAAAAAAAAGTCTCTAAAAGAGAGTGGTTAACAACAACCGAACAGGATGAAGGCAACAACTATGACTTCTCCTCCTTTTCCAATAGTTCCCTATCCAAGGAGTCCAATGTGTCGTATGAGCTCGAATGGGTAAGATCTGTCAGTTCGTCGAGATGTTTCTGCTTCTTCCTTACATTCCAGTGCAAACATTCGGCCAAGGAATCAAACCAGTCCGTTATCTGATCCTGGGCACAAATGCTAGGTACGGGGTAAACTGAAGTGGTCACTCTCAAACTGGAATGAAGAAAAAAAGGTTGGTTAGGCTCCTTTTCGAGATGAATGGTGGAAAAAAAAAACGTTAACAATTCATTTTTCTATAAAACAGTATGTATAATTGGCTTCGTAGTAAAGATTTGGAGGGGGAGAAAAAATACAAACAATGTATGCACTACAAAAAAAGTCTGACAGATAAATACGCTGCCTGTTCAGTAAATAAGGTGAATTTTCATTTTTCCCGAAAAGTAATCATTTATTCATCAACTTCTCTTTTGTCCCCTTCAAAGTACTCGCAGCGTTTTTTCCAATCCACGAAGCACCGATATGCACTCTTTGGTATGTCCTTGAATTCTCTTAGCGATTCGGTTTTTTATCTCCTCAATAGTCACAAAAAACACCGTCCAATCATGGGTCTCTTCAATTTTGGGAACAGTAAAAAGTCGCAGGGGCGAAATCTGGTGAATCCGGTGGCTGACGCATGATTACGGTGTTGTTTTTGTCCGAAAAATTACGAACAAGCAATAACGAGTGAGCAGCTGCATTATAGTGTTGCAAAAGCAATGAATTTTTTTTCCACAATATCGGAAGTTTTCTATGCATTGTTTCTCGCAAGCGGTGCATAACTTCAAGATAATACTCATTATTGACCGTACAACCATGTGACAAAAACTCCTGATGCACTACGTCACGGTAATCTATATTTGATCGAACTTGGCGTGCTTTTTTGGTCTTGACTCTCCTGGTTAACAGTAAAATAATTATATATCAGACATATACTTATCAAATCCACAGTTTACAGACATTTAACTGTTAAAATCATTCAGGAATTCTTCGCAACTGTAGTAACATTTGTCTAGTAAGAGTTTTTTACTGCTCCTGTAGAATAACTTGTCTGTTTAGTTTGCGTAATAGCAGACGCCAGAGCATTGTAAAGGCTGATTGCATTATATAGTGGTGATTCTTTAAATTTGGAGGTTTTGTGTATAGGCACCTTTAATAAATTTCCATTACACGTTGGATATTCATGACATGATGAGGTTTCTTCAAGCAGTAACTCGTTTTTTCTGGAGTAGTTCACACATTGATATATGTATATGCAGGGAGCTGACAGAAACCTTTCTCTAATGAATACTGGCCTACAACTCTCTAAGTAGTTCATGTCAAATATCAGTCTCGCTAGTGTGTCTCACTAATTTGTGTGTAGCAGCATTATTTTATGTGAAATTTTCTTCAAGTCACTTCAAATTTACTTAGTGCAGAACTATCTTCAATCTCTTCAGATAACCTATTGAGAATACTAATTTCCATTGTCTCTGAAGAATTGCAGTTTATTTTTGGCTCCGAAAATGAAATGTGTGTCCATACATATTCACACTAACCTCAAATATGTATAAAGAGATAAAAGGCATAATTTTAAATGCCAAAATTAGATTTCTTCAAGTATGTAACTTTTGATGTGGGCAATACTTATGAGTATTATGTGAAAGACTTCAAAGAAGAGTTGTCTTCTGTATATACAGGAATCTATATAAATCGAATATGTGCTTAACTGAAGAGTTATGCAGTGAAACACGGCATTTTAGTTCGTGGAATACTTTATTTTAGCTTAATGTAAAATCAAAAGATAACTGACTTGACAACATGGAATCGCCAGCTGTCAACATCAACCGGAGTGTCTACACACCCGTCTTGACGTACAACTACAATTAATGATCGAAATCTCTGGATTGTATTTCAACATTAACAGCTGTGTCTTTTCAAGAAACTTACTAACAACTTAATAACAACAATTAATTCATATCTTAATAACAATAAACTTAAACTTAATATAAATGAAACTAAAGCAATGATTTCAATAAATGGTGAAAACATCACATTTGCAAACGAGATTAAGTATTTGGGTTTTCATGCTAGTTAACTAATACTCTTTCTTTCAATGCCCATTTCAATTATATTCACAGAAAAATTTCGAAAAAGATATATTTCTTTACTAGAGTCTCATCTGAGCTATCTTTATATTCCAGATTAACGGTTTATAATACACTTATTCAACCTCACTTTGATTTCAATGGGAGTATATTATATTTCTTTGATGCTAACAAAATTTCAAGTCTACAGAAATTGCAGAATAGAGGAATGCGTATAATCTTAAGCTGTAACGGATATAAAAATATTATTTTCATATTGGACTCATTAAAATGATTATCAGTGTCACAGAGATTATACTTGACATCTATGACTTTCATCTTTCTAAATGAAATCTTACTAAGTTAATGAAAGAATTAAATAAGGGAAGCCAATATGTGGCCTTACAGACGGCATCGCCGGACTCCTGATCAGTGGCAGAAATAAGCAGGGTGAGTGGAACTAAAACTCCCTGAAAGCCTTTTCGAAAAATGCCACCGTGGACCAGCCTACCCAAGCTAAGGTGTAAGGAATCGTGCAGACAGCTGAAGTGCCGCTGGGTGATATGCGGTTACGAACGATCCCCTTGGGGAACCAGGCGAAACCTCATTCTAATCAGCCTTCCTTTGGTAATGCGGGGCTCTGCCAGAGGTGACCAACTCTTCCCTTGCTACTCGTGGGAACACACATATGTGAAACAAACAAACAGACCCAACAAAAGCAATCCTGAGGCTGGTCAAAAGTGCTCACCTCAATTTAAAGCGGTGGCTGGGGATGAACAGAAATGTCCACCCCAATCTACCGCTCGGAATGAGGCTGGACATAGCAGATCACCTCGTGATGTAATACAAAGGCATTTAATGAAGGCAAGGCCGCCGTGAGATACCTCAAGGTTGCCAAAGAGAGTGTGTGTTTGGCGAGTCTTGGCCTACACTTGCCGATATGAAGCAGATGTTTCCTAGTGACGTGTCCCCTTCCTGGAAAGGAAAGGATGGACGATGACTTAGGAGGACAACTCCTCGGGAGGATGTACAATGGGTCACATGTGGCCTAAGTGCGTGGGCTTACACTCACCCTCCCTACTATATACATACAAACAAGGGTTTGCAAAAATACAGTGAACTACCTAATCACATAAGGGATGTGAAAATAATTATTGTTATTATGCATATTAGATCTAATCTCTAATATTTGATCCAATATTATCATTATGTTTACGGACCTATATACATGTTAATAATATCTTCTTTTGTTATTGATTTTTTTCTTTTTCAATTGTATTTTACATTCTTCAATGAAATTCTTATTTAATTTCAAAAAAGCATTTAGTGAATATGTTCAGAATTTCATTTTTCATCATTAAATGAAGCAACACTAGATATATGAAGCAAAGTAATTAGACAAAGAAGAGAAAGTTCAACTGAAGTTCAAGATATAGGAATGAGGTGTATACCTGTCTCCATGCACCAGTTCTTGTCGATTTCTTCCATCGAAAGATACCCAAGAGGTGTTTCTACTATCTGGGGAAACTGATATCTGTAACAAAAACTGGGGTCAGATCTTTCAATATACTACACATATAAATCTAATCTGAATGTGTAATGAATGGATAACTGAACAAATGAAAATAATGAACCCACCGATGATATCGTTCGTTTTTTAAAAAAGTAAGACTTTGACGTTGCTTACAGAATAAATTTATTGAACAGTCAAAATAAATATTTAGTGTTGGATAGATCAGAAGTATACAAGTTAACTTGTGGTTCTTGCCCGAAACTTCATATTGGCCAAACGGGAACAACCTTTTCTAAAGAATAAAAGAACATATGACGAGATTCTTGATTGTGAAGACCAATTCAACATTTGTAAACCATCTTCTGGCAGAGAGGCATGACACATTACATATGGAAGAGAAAGGTTCGAAACTCAATCTCATGGAGTGGTTGGAAATTATTAAATTCAGGAATTCCAAGAAGTTACTGAATGACCAAAAAGAATTGAATTCTTCCCCTCTATTAAATCTGTTTTCTTGTTATTATCTGAAATTCAATAGAGAAATAAAAATTTGTGCAACAATTAATCAACTCACCTTCAGTTCGACACCAGCTGGCACAACGATAGGCCGGAAACTCAAAGAATGAGGACAGATGGGAGTCACCATAATGGCAGGGACACTGGGATGAATCATAGAAGCTCCGGCCGCGACCGCGTATGCGGTACTGCCAGTTGGAGTACTCACAATGAGGCCATCTCCTTGGACAGAGGTAATGTGTTTGCCATCCAGGTAGAGATCTGAAAATACAGAACTGGATAAATCATCATTTCTTTGTTTTGGTCAAGTGTACCAAAGGAATGCTTAAACTAATAATTTAATCAAAACTATGGTCCAAAGACAAAGCATTCGTGATCCAACACCAGGCAGCACTGTTTTGACCTGCCATCAGTGACGCTAGGTTGAAGCACAAATATATTGTTTGACTCGACTATCATTAAAGACAAGCCTGAATAAAAAAAGGCGATGACAACTCCCCTCACGAAGAGATCATTCGTGGTTCTGCCATAAATGAGAACCGTGGCAGGTCGTAATAACGCCGTTCCAACTGGTTGCCTTCCAGTGAAAGCTGCAGTGACAAATCTCGTCGGCAATTGATGTCGAAGCCTGGCTTTCCAACAGACCGCCTTTGCAAACCTCGTTTATATTTGATTCTTCTCTCTGTCCTATAGGACAAACTGCCACTTCTAAATAAATTTAAACTGCACCCTTAATCACATAAAAATCGAAATTAGAGGGGTAAGTCCCACTTTTACCGTCTCTGCCAATCAGCAAGTTTCGAAAGGAAAGAACACGGAAACTCAGGATAATTCGTTGTATAGGAAAGCTATAGATTATGCTGTAGACGACCGCCCCCCGACACTCAAGCGAGTCCTCCGTTAACGGGTGAATAGCGTTTTCAACAAACACTCCAGTCAGGAAGGGGTGCTGGACGGTAATCATCTGGTAGGGGAACTAGGCTCCATTCTGAATGATCGAAAGATGGTAATCGGCAAGGAAAGAATTCGTTGTTCACCAGTTGATCTGTTAATTTAGGATAGATAGGCGAAGCTCTCTGGCTTACAGAGATAGGCTTGTCTGGCCATCAGTGGTGCCATCAGTACTACACCGTCATTGGCCATGGAAATCCTTCTAGATCTACCTCCTCTCCACATTTTTCAGGAGAGTGCAAAAAACTGTTGGTTGACACTGGAAGTCACAGCATTCTGAAAATAATATCTGACTTTATGCCCCCAACTGTCAACTACGAACTGCCTTATAAAGTACTATTCCCGAGTAGAGAGTACTGGATCCTCCGGGAGAACGAAATATTAAGAGCAGAGAAGAGTGTTGGTTCACAGATGGATCAAAAACACCTTCCGGCTCTGGTGCAGGTGTTTTCAGTCTCAGACTCAGGACAGAGATATCAACCTGCTCAGGAACCTAGGCGACTGTATTTCAAGTGGAAATTTACGCTATTAAATTGTGTGCGGAGATATTGGAAGCATCCAACCTCATACATAAGTCAATAAAAACATTCTCGGATAGTCAAGCGGCGTTGGAGCTCTTCGCTCCTACCGAGCAACGTCTAAATTGGTAGCTAATTGCCAATAACGACTCTCCTTGATAAGAAGACTTAACAGATTGTCTATGGTCTGGATTCTTGGCCGTACTGGCTTGGAAGGCAATGAGGCTGCTGACTTCCTTGCAAAAAAGGGTGCTGCAAGCAGCTTCATCGGACCAGAACCTGTCATGGGCTTCTCTTTAGGCTTTGCCAAACAAAGATTGAACACCTGGATGGCAAGAGATTTATGGACTTCTGGCACAATCTTTCAGGATTAGCTCACACCAAGGCGTTTATTCACCCTTCGAAGCATGCAGAGACTCGGACTGTCGGAAGACAGTGTGTGTAGCCTCTGTTTGGAAAATGATGAAACAGTAGAGCATATACTTTGTGCTTGCTCCGCTGGGGATCGAATCAGGTTTTTAGAGTTCGGCAGAGCCGTACTCTTACCATCTGACCTGAAATACCACTCACCATACAAACTAATCGGCTTCGTTAAGAAGCTGGGTTTATTTGGTCGAGTGTGAATAGTGTGAGCCACAATACACCTAACCTAGTATAGTGGAGATAAAGTTCGTTTTGTTTTGGGACTTTTATTTTCTGCAAACAAATACATATCTCTGTATATAAAGGAGAACAATAGAGTATCCATTTAAAACTGGCATATTATTGTAATTCGAGAAACCCACAGTCAGATCTGGAACTAATTGAACGGATTGGGTTGTCTAGAGGAGCAAACAAATATAGACAGAATTTGATACAACTTCAACCGTTTGTCAGAACAACAAAAACAATCGTTTTCCAGGGAGAACCACACCCATCAAAGATATTTTTGATATTGAATGAACTGAAATTGCCTGTTCCACCTATTCCCAAATATTCTTGCCACGAGGCCAAGAACTCTTGGGGTCACCAGTCCATTTGGACAGCGGTGACGTGAGAATGCGTTACTATCCTAAAAGCCCAACGGAGGAAAGCTCTATATTGACCCATTCTGTGTTAGGGCAGAATTTGCTTCATATGGTCGCCTACCACTAGGAATCAATCATTGCATCTGAGCAATGCAGCTTCAGAAGTTGATCACAGGTAAGATAAAGCGTTAGGCAGGTAACTTTTGCTTATTTTTGAAGGAAATGATGAAAATTCCATTAAAATTGCAAATTGATCTGACTATTTTGACTTCATATAGGATAGCCTTCCCCACGGAGGGGAAGGAACGATCAAATTTAATTGTCCAGTTAGATGGGTGTTCAGTTCATTATGCCAGAGCTGTGAGGCAATGGCCTAACGAACATTTTCCAAACCGATGGATAGGCCGTGGTAGTCCGTTTATAGAGTGGCCACCCAGATCACCAGACCTTACAGTTTTGGACTTTTTTCTCTGGGGACTTCTCACACAAAAGGTTTACAAAAACCGCTCAAGAGA